CTTGGCATCATCTAACATTTACTTTGTGTAGTTTGCAACTTTTGCAGAAGTTCCAAGCCTTCTCTCTATCATGAACCATACTCCAAAATCTTGAGCCATGATAAATACTTTCATCCTTATTTTTCATTTAGAAAGCTCATAGTTATCAAATATTGGAGTTTTGAGGACTTTTTTACCATCTTCAAAAATATATTGAGCCATAGGATCTTTTTCCTCAAGGTTGTTAGACCAACAAAAATAAATTCTAAGCTCTTATACCATTCGTTAGCTCAAGTAATCCAACAATGGGTGAACTAGATTTTCTCTAAATATTTTTTCAAAAATAAATTTCAATATATTTGAATGAGAAATTAAAAACAATATGCTCTTTTATGAAAATATGAGGCAATTAACAACAATTAATGATCTTAAAGCAAATATAAGTAACAATGAAATTAAAGAGAGTAGGGATAAAGAAATCAAACTCAAGGATTTATAAATGTTTGATCCTTCTCCAAAAGCATCTATGTCCTCTCTTTTAGCCTCACTTGCCAAGACGTTCGATCAATCTACTAATTGAATGCAAAATGCAATCTTTATCTTTTCTGGGCTTAAGCTAGCAACCTTTTACTCTCTATCTTTCTAGGTTAAGATAGCAACCTCTAATTTCCTACCTTTTTAGGTTAAGGTAGCAACTTTAATCTCACAAAATGAGTTTCTACAAAAACTCTTAAAACCTTTCAAGAGGATGCCTCACTTCTTAATTACAATTTAGCTATAATGTTTTGCAAACTAAAAACCTCTTTCAAAGGTTAAGTGTTTGCCTAATGAAGTATAAAAGGTGATAAATGAATAACAAAAAATAGTTTGGATACAAGAAATACAAAGGATATTGAATTTAAACTCTAAAAACTCTTGAATTCTTGAAAGATTGAAAGTAAGGCTTGTAGGTACTTGCTCTCTTATTTCTTTAACCTTCTTGGTGTGTTGGAATACCCTATTTATAGAGATAATAAGTTTGTAACCATTGGGAAATGATTGAAAGAGAAAATACCCATTAAACATTTGAAAAACTAACCATTTGAAATATTCTACACAAGACCAGATCAATTAGGTAATAAACCCCGTCAATCCTGTGCCTCACTCAATTGATCCATTTTTGTAAAGAATCAATTCATTTTGGTAGTTTTTCAACTTCATGGCTTTTTGAATAAAAAATTGATCAATCTTGTTAAAGAGAAGATCAATCCTATTTTATAAACCCTTAGCCCAATCGATCCTGTATGGTAAGGGACCAATTGGTTTTGCAAAAAATCAAACTCAAAAGCTTTTTGGCTAAAAAAAACGATCAATCGTATGCAAAAAATGATCGATCCTGTCCTTTAGGGATCAAACCTTTCTTCTCATCTTTGCACAAAACATTTTTAAACCATGAAAAAAGGTTAGTTTGTGTTCAAAAATAAATTTTCACTTGATAAAACACTTAAAAACCCTTTTCCAAGTTCTAGCAAATTAAACATCATTTTGATAAATATATTATGTATTTAATACAAAAATAATAAAACTTAAGAATAAGTACTAAATAAATCTATTTGCAACATCATAATCAAGTTTATTTAGCTTAATATTTTGTCATTTAAAAACAATGATCAATTTAAGGCTAACATTCCTCAATCATCGAATTCAATTAAACAATAAAATTATAATATAATATTTTTATATTTGAAATATTGTTGTATTAAAATTTAAATGTGAAATAAGTACAATAAATCAATAATATATTGTAAATGATTAATTTTATAACAAAATCAATAGTTAAATAAATGATATTGCCTTTTATTTTTTATTGAAAATTGTTGTAAATATAATAATGATAGTATTAAAATTATTTGATATTCATATTTAATGTGTTTCAAACAAATTTTATTTGTTAATCAAATTTAAAGATTTAATATTAATGTTGTTGATAATACATAATTGATATAATTATTTAATAATTATAAATAATAAAATCTTTAAAATTTAAAATTTTTAGTTAAGAAAAACATTTATCATTTTTTTTGTTTTTTAAAAATAAAATCATATACTTGTATTTGTTTTGAATTGATATTTATTTTGAAATAACAAAATATTAAGCTAAATAAATTGGATTAAAATTTTGAAAAAAAAATTATTTAGTACAAGATTCTTATGATATATTATTTTGGTACTAAATAAATATTATGTTTTCCAAAATATTATTTGATTTGAAAAATGTTTTTATAAAGCTTAAAACCTTTCTTTATGTTTTCTATTTCTCAAACCAAAACTATCTTTAAATTTTTTTTTTTTATTTGAGCTTAAATAACAATCCAATTTTTATTTTTAAAGTGAACTTATACATCTTGGATTCAATACAATTTTGATAATATTGATTTTGAGAAATGGATTAATTAGAGAAAAATGTTTTGAGATAACAAGGTTTTTCTAACATTGAATTTATTTTATTTTTTGTATTAATTTACAAAGTTTTAATATTTAAATTTTATATCGATAAAAAGTTTCTCGAGTCTAATTTCTAATAGATTAAACAAAAGTAAAATCTAAATTTTCTAAAAAAAAAATTTTTAATTTTTACTAGAGATGATGTAGTTTTCTAACAACCACATAAGAGGTAATTTTGAAAATTCACTATAATTTTTATACTTTGAATCAGATGATGAATTTTATATGATTAGAAAGCCCATTAAGCCTAATTTCTAAATCTTCAATGGATCTTGATTTGGAGTTGTATAACTCAAGACAGATTAAATTAGTAAGTAAAGTACCAAATAAGATTTAGTTTAAAGCTTCCGAGTGTACTATTTATTCATAATCACCCCAAATGCAAAACTAGCTTGGCCCAATCAATCCCCATCAAAATGCATTGATCCATTCTCCTATAACAGTTAAAATTTGAATTAAATTCAAGAGCCAATCAATCTCTTAATGGACTCGATCGATCATTTTGCTTTTGACAACTTTTAACGACTACTTTAAAAGGAGAAAAGCATGCATTTTCATTTCCCAATATTGTCCAATGCCTACAAATATATTTTCCTTATAAAAGGGACTCTTGTAACACCATTAAAGTCAAAAGCAACACCCAAAGAGAATTGATTAAATTTTTTCAAGAAATTTAAGAAATTCAAGTGTTTAGAGCTTAAACTTTTTATCCTTCTATTCAATATCCATTTGTTCCCATTTTGTCTCTTCTTGTATTTATTTTCCAAACACCCAACTTTAGTGAGGTTATCTAGCTTGCAAAATACTTGTATCTAATTTAAGATTGTAGGTTCAAGGCAAGTGAAACTTTTAAGTGTATTTGTGAGATTTTAATAAAAACCATTGAGGCTTTTTTGGTTTGTTGTACTATCAATCTTGAATAGGCTATTTGTAAGAATTAACATATAATAAATTATGCTTGGTTAGGATAACTAAGAGAGATGATGTAAATACTTTTGAAAAATGATCGAACATTTATAAATTATTATGTTTTATTTCTCTATATCTACTCATTTTAATTTCATTGTTATTTATTTTTGTTTCAAATTCATTACTTATTGTATATTGCATAATTTTTTATTAAATAGTATATTGATTTTAATTTTTTATTTAATTTAATTAAAATTTATATTTAAACAAAATTTTAGAGACAATCTAATTCACTCTTTTCGGATTGTTATCTATACTTGAATTAACAACTTATAATTCAAATTTTTTGGGTTATGACAAGTTTAGTTTGTGTCGATTTCAGACTTTTTTATGTTTGGATTTTTTTTATTTTGAATATTTTTGATAATTTTTTTTTTTTAAATTTCAGTTTTTGATTTTTTTTATTAATTTGAGATAAAACACAGATTAGCTCAGACCGATTTTCAAATTCGCTCCAACTTTACCGGCTCTAGTTCTACTATAATCATGTGGAATTCGGAATAAGCCACGATTCTGCCAAATAGATAAAGGGTTTTTTTTTTTTTTTTTAATTCAAACTAAGCTTCGCATAAACAAATCTAGATTTACACTTGAAGTGATACAGGTAATAGCTTTGATAATAAGTGGCATGTGGACATTGACTTCGTAGAGACAAGCACGTCTGCCCAACGCTTTGCCCGAGGGAAAGCGCCATGGTTCTTTGTAACATAGGAAAAGGACAAGATAAGACTAAAATTTATTTTCTGTCTTCCGTTTTTTTATCTAGTGGTCACGAAAACTTTTAAAAAATATTAATATTTGGATTCGAATTAAATTTTTTTTTATGTAATAGGAGGTTGTCTTTTTTTGAAACTAAAAAAAAATTATTTCCTGATTTAGTATTCAGTTCATTGTTGGCTTCAAATCCACGTTATAGTCACCAAAATTTGGCTGCATTCGACCTTGTTTTTATTCTGAGATTCGTCAATGTATTTTATTTATTTTTGGGAAGCCAAGGATTGTTTAATATCTTAAGAAGTTTCATTTCTTGTTTAATATTGTAAAGGAGTTTCATTTGTTAAGTTTGCTTGAGAATTCTTTACATTTTTCAACATGCTTCCGTGCTGCTTCTCATACGCAAAGGGATATAGAAATGTTTTGTTATTATCACAACTGTCTGCTGATTGAGGACCCGTAAGCACGAAAGATTTGTGAAGTTCTATGGGTTTTCCAAATGGCTATAACCAACGCACGGTTTTAACTTTTTTGTCATTGCATTTTTAAGACATTTGTAAGTTTATTTAGTATTTAATATATAAAAAATATAAAAATTATTATATTATAATATGGATCAATATGTCAAATACAATACATTTTTTATTTTTATTCAATTCATATGATTTTATTAAAATTTTAAATAATTTTATATTTTTTTATATCGTTTTCAAATTTTATCATTATATCATATTTAAAATTATCATATTTAAACATAGTTTTTCATTTGTAAATGACTAAACCTAACTGAATTGAGATTTGTCAAGCAAAGAAGCAGTGAACAGACAACAATCCAGTGCTGTTTAACAGTTTGTATTTTCCCCAAAACCTACCAATAATAGTCCCAGGGAGGGAAAATCAACCTATCAGAAGAAGAAAAATATACATTAATTGATAGAAAAAAAATTCTAAAAATAACCCAAACCATGTTAAGGCCCAGGATGAAAACTAAATACCCAAAAAGAAATTTTGGGGTTCGGTGGTAAAAGAAAATGAAAATTCATCCCTCTATCCTATATGCTGTTTCACTCAAGGGCACTTTACATTCCTTCCAGGGCCTCCATAGTAAAAGTAAGTTCCCCAAACATTGTTTCTTCCTTGTCTGATGTCATAACAATTTGAATTATCAGCCAATAGGCGAAGGTTTGTTAGAGGCAGCAAATTATTATCCCAATCAACAGTTTGCAAGTTCCGGAAATAAGCTGCTTTTCCGAAGCCTTCTTCAGCAAAATGGCCACTGCCCATTTGTGTTGATGTGTGAAATCCAGACGATTCAGTGTTCACAATTTCTCCTCCAAATTGTATCATGTTCGCATGGCTTCTCAAGTGACTGAACAGAAATGCAGGCCAGTATCCAACCAGTAATCCTGATCCAAATTCTAACCACCAATGTCCATGTTTTGGATCCTACAAAAACATTTTCGTATTTCAGTTGGATGTTGGATGATGTTGCAGTCCATTTTAAGTTTTATTTGTCACAACCTGCTTGGTTTTTTTCTGAAAGTTTCCTTTTCCGCTTTGAATGTCTTATTATCCACGGATGGTGACCAAAAAACAAAGAAATTTTGAGACTTTTAGTAGCATAAACCTATTGATTTTCCTCTTAAGCTGACCAATAGGAGTTAAAGCTTGAGACAATAAAGAGAAGAGAAAATAAATTATACCTATTGATTTTCCTCTTAAGCTGACCAATAAGAGTTAAAGCTTGAGACAATAAAGACAATTGAATTTTACAAAAAATTATATAAGAGAAAATAAAGCTGTCATATCAATAAACAGTTTGAAACAATAAAGAGAAGAGAATCTTACATTTTAATTTTAGGAATTTAAAATATTCAAGTTAAATGTCAAGAAGGGTCTTTAGTCATTAATCATTGAAGTCAATTTTATCGATTACATTAATTTAAGGTTGCGTGTTTAGTGCATTTATTAACGGTGTTCTAAAGGCTCTAGTCAAAGGAGCCAAACATTGAAGCAGCGGATGTGAAACAGTAAAACTGCCTTCAAGCTTAAAATATCAAATAGAACTTTTTTTCTTGAAAATTAAGCCAGAATGTTTATTTTACTTTGTTAATAACTTGGTATAGTACTGTTTTGGAGAATGGTGGCAAGCACTCACCTTCCAAACCATTAAGCCAATATCAAACTGTCTGCCATTATAGGAGGACCTTGGAGAGATTGCTGCTCCAATAGCAATCTTGTTGTTGGTTTGGACAAAGCCAGAGCAAAGCAAGTTGTAGCATCCTGTGGCTTGGTATGCGTCAGTCTGTAAATTCAAAGTAAATTAGCAGCAGTTGGTTCTTTTTTTTTTTTTCTTTCGGTTTAAAACTTGTTTTCAAACGTGGAAAGAGAACAAGATTGCTAGATATTATACTCACTGTCCAGTATGTGAAGAACCTAGGGTAATTATCTCCATATAGTTCAGGGCTAACCTGAACAAACATGAATGCAATTGTTCATTAGTAGCATATAGAATCTATGAGAGCAGCTGGTAATTCAACAGCAAAAATCATCTCATGTTTTTGACAGATAAACAAAACAATTATGCATGTTGATAATTGAAAGCAACTTCTAAAAGGATTTTACTGAAACTCGTGCATCATACACCATTTTGATGTTTCTAGGATACTATTTGAAACTTAAAATAACATGTCATAACAGGTGTACGACTGAGATTTTCCTCTCATAATATCAATAGAAGATAAGGACTTCTCAATGCAGAGATTCTGAATATGTAGTAAAAATTCAGGGACATGCCTGCCAACCAGCTTCAATGGTATTCAGATCATTGCCAAAAGAACCAGAGATGACCCAGATCTGTGACAAGCTAAACTCGTATTCATTAGTCACACTAGGCGCCCACACGTTTAAGCTTGCCTTTGCTCCATAATACTGATCTCCATTCACAAACAAAACTGCATGCTGCAATGAGAAAGAAATAAAATTGTCAAAACTTTTGCCTCATTTCATATATTTCACCTTGATGGAACCATTAAAGGATGGTATTATCAACATCACATGATAAAAGATTGGTTGTTATGAGATGTAAAATTCAATTAATTGATGGTAGTCCTCTATAATTGAAAATCAACTTTAGAGTCCAATGTCATTTCACTGTCTGCGTTTCATTCTTTTTCACCAGCCAACTCACGGTGAACCGTTTAATTACTGTTAAAATTAGCCTTTCTAATGGAAACTAGCCTTTTGCTTGAGGGATTCCAGGAATAAGAATGCAAGCTAAGGATAAGACAAAGTTTCTGCTGTACTCATCTCAATCCTGGGTTACTGAATCAAAATAAAAATAAATCAAGTAGAACTTTCGGACAGAATTACCGGAATCCCATTCCGGTTTTATTCTTTTTTTTTTTCTGTCAGAGATTGATGAGTATCAGTTAGAAGGAAGATAACTTTTAGTGCTTTTATTGCATAACGAGATTTAAGGGGATCAAGGTACAGACCTCGTGGCCGCTGCCTGTTGAGTCTCTCCGTACATGTCTTCTTCTTCCATATCTTTTAACGGAACTTGCTCTTAAAATGTCTTTCTCTGCAGTTCTTCTGATTGGAACAGTTCCTTCTGGGCAAAATTCACCTGAGTCTGTCCACAGCTGGAAGCTTTCAGAGACAGCTTCAGTAGAGTTATGACCTTTTGGCCTCGCCGGTGGATCCTGTCAAAATGATGCTCACCGACACTGAACTATATTTTCTTGAAACTTAATGCATTTATGTCCATTTCTAAAGAGAAGCTCAACAAGTAAAACAAGCAGAAAATTACCAATGGTTCCTGTCCTCTAAGCTCAGGGTGATCAAAAGCAGGTTGAAGATGAGATAGAACACAATCTATGACATCATCATCTGGACTCTGCAGCAAGAGACCAAGACCATATAATAATCAATCTAACAAAAGAAGCACTGCTTTTAAACACTCCTAGAAAAGACTAGCAGAAATTTTCAAAGGAAAGATAGAGAAAGAAGATGCCTGAATTGTTTTGACAGCAGGCTTATTGATCCTCTTGAGATAAGCATTTATTCTCCTTAGCTTCTGAATCCCCTTAGCCGGCTTAAAAGTATGGTTCGCCATTTGCCGGTGATCGGAATCTGATAGCAATGGTAAAGACAGAACAGGGCCAAGAGAGGAAGCAAAAACAAGGAAAGCAACAAAAAATGGAATCATTGAGAAAGTGTTGTGGGAAACAGATGAAGCCATATTTGTGGAATGTTTTTGTGCTGTTGTTGTTGTTTGTATGCATTGGTGTTGTCTTGTTGTGTTCACAACACAACATGGTTTCTTCCAAAGTTTTGTCCCTGGAAATGAATATCTCTTCATGTCGCTACAAAACAGACGAACGATAAAAACACCTCCCCCTTCTCAGGCGTCACTTCCAGACCTCAACTTCCACTGCCTCCCCATTTTGCAAATATAAACAAAACTCTCAACGCTTCCATTTGTAAGAGAGAATCCAAGTAAGTGCCTGGGTTTTTTGAGGTCTGAGGTTCTGACACAAAAGAAACATCAAGCACCAGCGTGTTAAAAAAGACCTCATAGTCAGAGGTGGTCTTGTACTTACCAAGTTTTACCACCCATAACGGGCAGTGCCTGTGGTCAAACCGGATATGGGGGTGCTTTTTTTTTTTTTTTTTAAATGAGAAATCCTGTCTTTGAGAAAGAGATAGATGATTCGAATTTAAGGAAAGCGAGGACTGAGAGTTTAGGTTCGAGTTGGAATGAACTGGGCCAGTGAGAACTGAATTTTTTTTTTTATATATATATTCTTTGCTTTGAATTGTAGGAAATAGACAGAGAAAGACTATTTTGATACGGTTACACTCTTTTTTTTCAAATTGTTCTTCTTTCTTTCTTTCTTTCTTTCTTTTTTGCTTTCTGAGTTGTAGTTAGGCAAAGGGTTCCAAGTTTTGTCAAAAGAGAGAATCAAAACTTCCTTTCTATGCTTCTGATTTCCTCTCTATTCTATAGTATATTGTTTTCTGCACATTTTTGTAAGCAAACTGTCATCGCCTTACCATCAAGGGAAAAAAAGTGACATCATGTCATGTTATTGTAATATCAAATTTCGTATCTCGATCATTTTCAGGCATTATTTACTGTGTTTTTTTCTCTCTTGCTCTTTTCCAAATTTCTAGTATTTGAATTTATTTATGTATAGGCATAATTGTACCAAAAAAAAAAAAAGGAAAAAAGAATGACACCACACCCCGGCGCTGCGATCACTATGAAGTGAGAACATATGTAGAGAAATTTGTACGTTTTGGTGGGGCACTTGTATGATCATGTCAAAGAAATCGTGATGAAAAGGAAAACAATTTTATTTTATATATATTTCTTGCTTTTTATAATCCTAATGAGTCCGATTTCTTCTTTTTTTTTTTTCTGACTATTATCAGTACATAATTAAATGTAATGATATATGGATAACTGTAATGATCCAAAGGAAATTGTAGCAGCACCAGCCTTTCACAGATATAGCAGTTGCCAACAACCTGTGCATCATTCTGTAGATTGGGGGTCAAAGTAAAGAGAGACAGACTTAGGAGCGTATAAATGCTAATTCGATGAGAAAAGATTTAAACGAAATTTCATAAATGAGATTTGTAAAGTTTTATATTTAAAATGATTAAATAAAAATTAAAATTAAAAATAAAAATTAATAAATTAAAAACTTTTGTTATGTAAATTAAATATGTAAATTTTGAATAAATATTAATAAGTTTTGATAAATTTTTGAATAGGTATTTTTAATAAAAATTTTGATAGAATTTTTATTATTAAATACATATCAATCAAATTAAAATGATAAATAATATTTTTAATAATTTTTTACATATTATTAATTTTTATATTAAATTTTATTAATCTATCAATTTAAATATTTTATTAAAGTTTTTATTAAATCATTTTTAAAAATTTTATAATTTTTTCATATAAAAAACTTCATCTAAATTTTTTATAAATTTCTCTTCTTTCAATGATACCAATTATATGTTTTATTACGTCAGTTTAGAATTTCAGGTGCAAGAACATGCATTTCTGTGAAAAAATAGGCCCTTGATTTCTTTCCCTTTCTCTCACTCGGCTTAATGGTTTTAAAGTTGGTGGTTGGCTGATTTGATGAGCCACTTAATGCATGGTGGTTACCCTGACCTGGATTTTGGCAATGCCTACTGGAAGACTAGGACTGCAACATTATCACATTGCATCAACTAAAATTTCGAGGCATGAATTGGACTTAAAACGCTCAAATTATCTACAAGACTGCTCATTGTAAATCAATCTTATCATTTGTTTGGCAATAAGCAAAATTTCATGTTTTTATAATCACCTTCAGAGAAAATTGCCCCAACTAATTGATCCTTTCTTGCCTTTTTTTTTTTCATTGGAAAAGAAATGAAATTAGTAAAAGAAAAGACAGCATCCTCAACAGATCCACTGGTAGCACTTCCGTCACATATAAATCAGAGGATGGCCTTCCATCAGGAACATTAGCAACTAATTTCTCCAAAATTACCCAACATCCAGATTAATTTTTTCCAATGCAAAGGTCAAAGTTATCATACTAAATTTATCAAAAGGTAATATAATAAGCCAGTGGGACCACAGGCTTTTACCAATCTTCATATTGATCATATTGGCATAGTCGGTTAAAACTGGTGTCAAACTCAAAATCAACGCTTTCACATGTCGTGTTTAAGCAGGACAAGTATTAAGATAAATCTAATAATTTGAAGCAAGATATGAATATGATGCAAGAAAAAATATAAAATAATATATTTTAAAATTTTAACAAAAATTATATATAAATTTTACAAAAAAAATAAAAAATTGATAATTAACATATCAACATAAATTTAATATAATAATTTTTATATTTTATAAATATATGACACAAAATAAATATGACATGGATATACAAATTGATAAATCTACACAAAAATGCCACAATATCTATTTTTCACCGTACAGTACGTTTGGATTGAGGGGAGAAGAATGAAAGAAAAATAAGGTAAAGTAAATGAATGTAAAGGAAATAAAATCTCTTTTTTTTATTTGGATAAATTTTTAATTTAAAAAAATAAAAGTAGAAATCAAATAACTTTTGGTTTTTCATAAACTCAATTTTTTTAATACCTCAATTTGAAGGAAAAGCTAAAAAAAAAAAATTAAAAAATATTTTTTTTATAACAAGACTATTATTATGTTCATCTTTTTATTAATGCTAAAAACTTAATAAAAAAATCTAAGCAAATCACAATCATCTTGTAATTTTTTAAAAGTCATCTTTATTTTTCAAGTAAATTTCACATATCTCTTTCAATATAAAAATTTTTTATAATTTTTTTGGTGATTTGATTTTGATGGATGTTTAAATATGAATAGATATATTTTTTAGGTTTACGAGAGGATTAACTAGCTCAAAATCTATCAATGCATGTTTATAAAATATATTCTTATTTCACTTGATTAAAAACTATTGATATAACAGTAATTATGAAGTCAGATAAGATAACAAATATATAGGAGTGTTCTAAAAGCACAAGCAATAAAAGATTATAATTAGAAAAATTATTACAATGAATCATTTCTTTTTTTTTACTCTTTATCCAAACAATGATTGTGAGAATTTTTTTTTTTAATTTTAATTATTTAAATAAGGGTTACATATATCATTTTTTTTCTTTTAAAAAACTTTTTTTTTTCATTCTTTTCCTTTCATTTTTTTATTAATATTTATCTAAACATAGGGTTAAGTTTGTTTCCTCAGTTTGTTTCCGAACTACTCTAATATTTGTCATTTTAATGATAGAGGTGGCTGTTAAGTTTTTATGCCCTTAGTGGGGTGAAGGTGCCCTGCTGGCTGAGCCATTGGGAAATCTCTGAAGACTAGCTATCCTAGTAAAGTTAAGTTAAGACAATTCTGTCATGAAAGCCAAGAGAATTAGAGGGGAAGAATCATTCGCGCAGATTAGTAATCTAAAAAGTAAAGGGATCTTTATTACTAGTATTTGATTTTTATAATCCTTTGGATTAGGGTCTGAGATTATTAGCCTGCGGCTGCGGGAGCACAAAGGTATGGCCCTTGTTCTGGTTAGCTTTTAGAGTCCTGGGTTAGGGTGCTTGCCACTTCCAATATCTCCCCTTTAGTCACTGTATATTCTTTAATTTTTCTCTCTTCTTTTCACAAATGCCCACTTATAATCTCACCCACCTCTGCAACAAATTAAAGCAAGCTAGCTGTTGAGGAATATTGGGCCACTGAAAGTAACCCCTCAATTTTTAAAACAACTGGCATGGCCATGGGGGGATTATTAAGGTATTCCAGTGCTGCCAATATGCCCTTTTCCGTGTAAAGTTGTCTTGAGAGAATTGATTAAAAACCCCACCCCTAGAAACTATACGGTGACTGATGGTGTAAAGACACTGATATTTGAAATTTTTTGAATGTCACTCTCATGAAAATTTGTGTTTTGTAATATTCTGGGAATACTTTGCTTTTATAGATAAAGCGAATGTGATTTAATGGCATAATAATTATTATGTAAAACTACACTATCTCTGACAAAGGCTGTCAAGACCATGCTTTCTAAAGGTTATAAATATGAAATGCAAATGTAAAATGGAAGCAATGTAGCAATGAAAGAAGTGGGAATGATGGTCATAGAATTTTAACATGGAGGTGATTTTTTTACTGAGACTGTTGCTCTAATAATAGTTGTGGGTGAAACTAATCGCTGGACCACTATTGATTTCACACTCTATATCTCACCTGCACTTTATGTCTTTAAATAATAAGAGTTAGCGAGAATAATCCTACTGAAAACAATGTGAAATTAAAAAAATAATTATGAAGACATACATAGTCTTCATAACATAATTAATTATCCAATTATTAGGTTCGCGGATATTATTAATAATATTTTTATATATTTAAAATTATTAAAATTTAAATTTCGCTTAATTTACATTATTGTTGACTTGATAATTAACATTGTATATACTAAAGTTCTGGTAACGCGAGATTTCAAAATTAATTAGAAGCATATATTAACTCGGTTCTGTTCCAATTATCACGAAAACTTGACAGAGATCACTAAGTTAAATCAGAAAAGTAAAACCAGAGCCCTGAAATGCATGGTAAGGTATTTACTCAGAAATTAAACAATGATAACTCCTTAGATGTTGCTAAGAAGTGAGCATAGAAGTGATTGAATCTCTTTGAAGAGAACATAAAAAATAAATGTATAAATTGAAATCTAGGCCAACTGGGTCAGATTCCTTATCAACTCTACTTACCGTATTTGAGCAATTAAAATTTGCAATTGATTTTACATGGTTGAAAAGGATAAATAGTAGAAAAGGAATTACAAACCAATTTTTGGAGTCCAAGAGATTTTATCATCAAATGACAATCCAATAAAGTCCAAGCACGCGAAGCTTGTTGAATGGTGTTGCTTGTTTACCCAGCACAATTAGATTGTCCTACCACTTAATAATAGTGTTTGCCTGCATAAAAAAAAAAAGAAAAGAAAATTATAAATGAAAATGAAAATAGAAAGACCACCACAGAGCTTAGTGCCAACTTTAAAGGTTGAAGATGGTGACTGGTCATCTGATTGAAATGTGGAGACCATGTGATACAATATACAATAAATAACCATTCTTTTCACCGCCTTTATGGAAAGAAAAGCTGAAAATATTCTAAACTTTCTAAAAGCATGGCTACAAAATCCTCTAAACTGCAATGAAAATTTCTAAAGAAAAATTTACCCCATAATGGATTGGAAAATCCCATCTTGGAATGTTCAGGCATAAGCTCTTAATGGGGCATAGTCAAACCTTCTCAAGTACTTAAAGCACTGAAGTAATAACTTTTGTCGCCAAATTTGACCATTATAAGGAATCAACAATAATGCTTAATCGAAGAAAATTGAAAATCTTTTGACTAATATGGATTTTGTTGAGCCTATAATAAAGTTTGTGTCATGACTTTGTGGGTTTAATTAGTAAGCTCTGTCTCGTTACGAAAGGGCATCGTTTGTAGTATTTTATATCTTTAGTGTGGACTAGCAAAATCAATTAATTTTAACTTAATTAACTGTAAAATATGAGTATTGTATCAGTATTCATTTTGATAATACTCGAATTAAATAATATAATTTACGTTAAATGTGATTTCAGTGTTAATTTTTTTTTAAAAATTTATAATATGATAAATCAATATTAACCAACATGTTATGAGAGATTTTTATTTTTATCTTATTTATAAGAGACCCATTAAGTTTTATAAGTTCAATTTGTAACAAAAGGTAGAAAATAACTCTATCTCTCGTTTGTCTATGTACAGGTCACTGTTCGGATGTTAGGATGTGCCATGCATGAGACGGTGGCATCAATTGCGTAGATCTCGATAATGCACAATTAAGTTCCCACCTACATTCAGATCAGTCCTATTTCAGTTTAAGGTCGTGTTATTTAGTTTATGAGACTTCAGTCAAAATCCTAACACATTTGTGATCTTCCAGTTGATGCATATTTTATCTTTCAGGATTAAACACCACGGTTCTCTAATCTAGTTTTTAACTTGCATTTTTATATCTTTTGTTTCGTGATCTAGTGATCACAAAAATTTTTAGAAAAACATAAAAGTTTAATTTCGAACTAAATTTCTCTTTTTCTCTTTATAATAAGGTTTTATCTTCCTTGAAACCAAAAAAAAAAAAAACTTGCATTCTTATAGTTCGGATGCATCCAGTATTATCCAATTTCAAGACCAATTAACCATTAAATTCAGTTATTGATAACAGAAAGCTAGATACAGCAATAGATAATTGCATATGGTGAGTGATCCCCTTGTACAACTTTAGGCTTACAATAATCATTTGCTGCTGATTGATCTTTAATCTTGTCATGTCTTCTTTACGTGGCTTTAGAGTGAATCAAGGGACAATTTACAAGATTTCCATCACCTGGCGCAATTTGCTCTTCAAACAAAACTGTGCTTTCAATTTAGAGAACTTTGAACACTCTACTTTAGGTAGGAAATTTGCATAGACACATCATAGATTCTGTTGTGACTTGACCCTCAAGTGAGCATCTTGACATCCAAATCAACAATTACAACTATAGCTAACCGTCCAGTTAACACCCGTTGATTGTCAAGTCGGTGATTAATTAAACTGATCCAACACTTATCTGACACCACATAAATAGCTAGCCACATCAGCACATTTAAAATATAAAAGGTAGGATCGGCTACAGGTAAGCCATTCTCTCCATTCCTTCCGGCTTACCAACTCTCTCTCTCTCTCTCCCTCTCTCTCTCTCTCTCTTTACCTTCATTTTCTTCTTCCTCTATTCCTACACCTAGCTGACTTGAGCATTGGGCGCGCACCGCGGAGTATTATCTCCAGCAACTCCTGACTATTCTTGTGCCAGGTCACACAAACCTTCCATATCAGCAATCTCATTCGACCTCCACCGAACCTCCAACCACCAGATAGCAAAACGCATCAACAGATTCAAATGCTATTTGAACTCCATGTTTAATTACACTAAGTCTATACGTTTTAAGATCAATTGCTCAGAAGCTAAGAAATAAATCTTAGGGAGTATAGGGACCCTTGGTAGGATGATTAATAATTGTCCATTACAACCCTTCTGGAGGAAGCTCGGCATATGTGCTATTAGCATTCCTGAATTTCTGAATGATAAATGAGAATATTGTTGCGGGATGGAATATTATCCGCCATTAACTGTGGTCTCTATCAATCAGATTACATTTTTACATTAAAGGCCCAATCGTTCCAAGCATCTGTTTTTTTTTTAAAAATTAACGGTGGATTCTATAATAAGCAAAGCATCCCCTTTTGAGTTCCGTAAAAATTGCAAATATGAACCAGTTCTCTTTAAGAACTGTGATTAAAGTTCAAATAAAGAACGGTATAGCAAAGATGATTATGACAGAGAATCCAGTGGCAACATATCTCTTCATGGAATGAGAAATTTCCCCAGGGAAATATCAACAACTTACTCTTAGCTGTCTAGTTCTTCATTCTTTCTTTCTCTTTTAAATTTCAATTTAATCTTCTGGAGAAATGTCCTTGACAATAAGAGGAAGTGTGAGAGCAAGAAGGCAACCCTCTTGCAGAGGGATTTTTTGTCGGATGGTATGCCTTCCCAGAAGCATAATAGGGGGGTTTTCAAGAGTAATGGGTAGAAGAAACCAATACCAGCCACCGAACTTACAGCTGCAACATCCACAACTACAGCAGCCCCAAGCTGCTCCGGAAGAGTGGGCTTTTCTGGCCAGTTTTGAACAGCAATATGGTACCACACATCCATTTTTCTATGCCTGTAGTTTTATGCAGGCTCTAAAGATAGCAGAGGATGAGCACAAGTTCATGTTCATGTATCTCCACTCTCCAGAATACCCCTCCACTTCTTCTTTTTGTTCGGGGAATTTGTGTTCAGAGCTGGTAGTACAGTTTCTTGATGCAAACTTTGTGTGCTGGGGAGCATTCGCAGATAGAGGAGAGGGTTTACAAATGGCAGCAACTCTGCTGCCTGCTAGCTTCCCCTTCTGTGCAGTGATTGCCCCTGCTACCTGTAACAACATAGTAGTGCTGCAACAGGTTGGTTTAACATTGGGTTTAAAACTAGGTTCGTATCTTAGTTTTTTGTTGGACAACTAGCATGCTTTTCTTTTAATTCCAATCATCAAATGTCCACGAAAAATTGTAGATAATTGTGTTTGGGGTTTAATTACAGGTATGCATCTAATCGGAGAAGGCCATGATTTTTCATTCGTTTTCTGACTAAATGATGAGACTGATTATATGAATAGACCAAAACTTTAATGTGGTGGTGGCTTTTAATGATGAGAAGAAGTATGAACTTTTCTTTTCTCTACCTTGTTTATGCTTAGATGGAGGGTCCAATTGATCCAGCTGAGCTGGTGGAGATTTTACAGAGGACAATGGAAGAGCAAGGGTCGGCTTTTGGCAGTGCAAGAGGAAGGGAGGAAGAACAGATGAGAGCAAGGATTAAGGAGGAGGAAAGGATAAGAGCCAGAGCTATGGAGGAAGAAAAGTTAAGGGCAGATCGTCAGTTGAGAGAAGAACAAGATGCTGCATATTTTGCTGCTTTACAGATAGACCAGGTGTGTGCCTATTTCGTTTGGTTTGTTTCCTATGTTTTTTAGTCAATGAAAACTCCAAGGCAGGAAATTAACAGTAGAAGTATGTGTTCGTGTATGTGTTTTTTTTTTTTTTTTGTTCTAGGAAAAAGAAAAGCTCAGGAATGCAAGAGCTCAAAAACCAGAGAAACATCTAGGTAAATCAAGGCAGGCTTCATCTATTAGAGAAGCCCGGTTCAAAGAAACAGTTGGTCAAGGGAAGGATACACAGGCTACTCAGGTGCTTGTTAAAGCCAATTACTTTGTGTTAATTAATAGGCCAACTTGTTTCAGAACAATGTTCTTAACATTCAAATTCCTGATGAATTTTTCAGATATTGATTCGGTTTCCAAGTGGTGAAAGAAGAGAGCACAGCTTTTGTTGCACAGATAAGATCCTCTCAATTTACATATACATAGATTCATTAGGACTACCAGGAATTGGAAACTACAGACTAATATCAAGCTTCCCAAGAAGAGTATATGGTGTTGATCAAATGGGAATCACTTTGAAAGATTCTGGTCTTCATCCTAGAGCAAGCCTGTTCGTGGAGCTTCTTTGATAACACTGAACTAATTAATGAATAATGATGGTGCACGAAAGCTTTATGCACCATAACACGGACAGCAAACATACAAATGTGGAAATTACTACTAGATGTCGCCTAATTCAATATGTATTGATCATGTTATCCAATCCATGTATTATGCATCATACTTGCTTCACCATAATCTCATCTCATGAATAATAGCTTATCAAAGCTAAGACTTTTGTTAGGAGAGAAAAGAAAAAAAAAAATGGAAAAGAGATCAATATATATATATATATCAAAAGTCTTAGCGTTGATAAGCTATTATTTGCGTAATGCATTTATAATTTTTATCTTTAAAAATTCATTTCAATAAATAATTTTTTATACTATAATAATAATGATAAATAGTAATAATTTAATTTTGAGTTTGATAGCTTTTAATATAATTTTGATTTTGATAACTTTTAACAAAATTTTGATAACTTTTTATATTAGTTTGATAATTTATTATATAATTTGGTAACCATTGATAAAATTTTGGTAACTTCTTGATATAATTTTTGTAATTAATCTTCTAGTAATTTATGATATATTTTTAGTAATTATTGACAAAATTGGTGTCATCATATATTTAATAAATTATTCCCATAAAAAAACATGAATTCAATTTAATATAAAATAATTTTTTATATAATAATATTATTACTTCATTCAAATTTAGAATTTTTCACTAAATTTTTTTATTAAATAGGTTCGTAATAGATTTATCCTAGTCTCACATGATGAAATTTCTAACTTCCTTTCTACTAGTAACTAAGATTTAATTCCTAACAACTTTAAGTATAACAAAATTTATCAATGATTAATAATTAAGTTATTATTAATTTATTATTATGTTATTAGTGATTTATTGTTAAGTTATCAATAATATATTGCTAAATTATCAATGATTTACTACTAAATTAGTACTGATTTACTACTAATTTATAAAAGATTTATTAATAAATTATGAATGATTTATTACTTACTAAGTTACTGATAATTTGTATAAAGTTATAACCTATTTACTATTAATTTATTTACAATTAAATTATTAGTGATTTACTACTAAATTAATAATAATTTATATCTAAATTATCAATGATTTACTATTATGTTATTATGCATTTATTATTATGTTATCATTGATTTACTACTTATTTTTTGATTATTTATTACAAAATTATTATAGATATATTGCTAAATTAACCATGATTCATTATCAAGGTATTACTAATTTATATTAAACTATCCATAATTTATCATTAAGTTATTGATGATTAACTATTACTTAGTTATATTAATTTATTTTTAAGTTTTTAATGATTAACTATTAAATTATTATTGATTTACTACTAAGTTATTTATGATTTGCTATAAAGTTTATCAATTAATTACTATTAAACTGAAACTAATTTACTATTAAGTTATCATTAATTTATTATTATGTTATCAATAATTAACTACTAATTTATCACTTTTTTTTTATTAACCTATCATTGATTTACTAATATGTTGTTATGCATTTATAACTATAAATATGGAATTTAAAAAGTCCACTAATAATATATGAAATAATTTTCTTTTTATACGATAACATTATTGTTTTATTCACTTTTAGAATTTTTTTCACTAATATTTTTATTGAATAGGTTAATGGTAGATTTATCTTAGCCCAAAATGAAAGTTTTGACTTCATTCTACTAGTAATTAGGGTTCTATCATTGGCAACTTCAAGTATAAAAAAAGTCATAAATCATTAATAATTAAGTTATTATTTATTTACTATTAAGTTATCAATAATTTGTTACTAAATTATTAATGATTTAATTCTAACCTATGAATAACTTGTCATTAACTTATTAATAATTCATCATTAAGTTATGAATGATTTCTATTAAATTGTTGATGACTTACCACTAATTTATTAATTATTTATTATAAAATTATAACTGATTTGCTATTAATTTATCACTGATTCATAAAAAAGTTATTAATGATTAATTAATTTATTACTAAATTATCAATGATTTACTATTAATATTTTTATATATTTACCGTTACGTTATCATTCATTTACTACTTAATTTTTAATTATTTACTATAAAATTATTACCGATTTACTACTAAACTATTTATGATTCATTATCAAGTTATTATTGATTTATAATAAATTAATCAAGTTGTTACTGATTTATAATAAATTATGTATGATTTATTATTACGTCATCATTAATTAACTATTATATTATCTATGATTTGTTACTAAGTTTTATTGATTTAATTTTAAGTTTTCAATGATTAACTAATAAATTATTAATTATTTACTACTAATTTATCATTGATTTACTACTAAATTATTTATGATCTCGTATTGTTAATTAATTAGTATTAAACTAAAACTGATGTACTATTAAATTTTACTAATTTACTATTAAGTTATCATTGATTTGTTTCTAAATTATTAATAATTAACTACTAAGTTGTCACTTATTTTTTATTAAGTTTTCCTTGATCTAGTACTATGTTATTATGCTTTTACAACTATATTATAATTGATTCATCATTAAGGTATTATGCAAATATTATTATATTATTATTGATTTATAAGAAGTCAACAATTATTTACTACTAAATATCATTCATTTACTATTAAGTTATCACTTATTTACTACTAAGTTATCGATGATTACTACTAAGTTATACTAATTATATTTAAGTTTTCAATTATTAATTATTAAGTTATTAATTATCTATGAATATGTTATTATTGATTTGTGTTTATCCAAAAAGAAAATAATCACAATGTATGCTAGATGATGTAATTTCTAAAGTAAAGAAAGAAATAAGAAGTTCAAATTTAAATGATTTGAAAAGTATGAGTAAATGCTCTTAATTTACTATTTGTAATTTAATACGTAATAGTAAGTTAAAATCATAACTTCTTATACTAATGTCAGTATTAAAAATAAATTAAATAAATATATACAATATATTAAGTCAATATTTCTAAAATATTCTTCAAATTCTTTAATTCATAGTAAAATAATACATATTAAAATAAGTACAATGGAAGTATGTATTTTCATACTTGTTAGCAAAGTACAATTGTATATAAAAAATTAAAAGTTTTGAAGTGTTATATCACCAATGGAAGTAATACATTTTTATTTTCTATTTAAGTATACAATTTTGGGTAAAAATTTTGTCATATATACAATAAAAGTAACAAGAATAAATTTACTAAATAAAATTTATAAAAATTAAATAGACGACAATTTTAAAATATTAAATTCGCAATAATTACCTTGTATTTTTCATTAAAAATTTTTTCTATTAAACAAAAATATGATATATTTTTAATTGTTACTTTATTCTTATTATCATCATTCAAAATAACTTTTTCGATATTTTAATGCCAATTTACATCCTCGTTTTAAAAAAGTAAAGAATATTTAGTATTTTTCATAAAAAATTTCTACTAAAGGAAAAGATTGTATATTTTTAATTATTGCTTCGTTCTTATTACCATCATTTTAATGGATTTTTTTTTTTTTATATTTGATGTAAATCAACTTCTTCTTTTGGAAAAAGTAAAGAATATTATAAGGGATCATAACAACTAAAATAATGTTTATTATTATTTTGTCTTAATGAACGAGTTTGAACTATGATATGATCTCTTTCAAATGAAATATTTGAATTGTTTCCCTTAACTCATATAGTAGCAACTTTATTAGCCAATGAACAATTATAAACTCATTGATCTAAATTGATATTTTTACAATACAAATTTCAAAATCCTCAAAAAAAGAAATATCATTTAATCATTACAAAACTTAGGTATAAGAATTTTCTTCTAAAATCATCATTAGTGTGTCCATAAATTTTGCACTTAAATTTTTATTGTGTTGTATTCTCATTCTATTTTGAAATTCGGATTGGTGTCATAATATTAAGTTAAAATAATATGGATTAATCAACTCAAATTTGAAACAATTCAAAACTCAAATTGAGTATAAATATATTTTTTACTTATTTTAAAATTTAATTTAATAAAAAATAATATAATACACATAATTATAAAAATGAACTAATTTGACTCGAATTCAATTGCTTTTAAAAAATCAACAACTTAATAGTTATTTAAAACCCAAAATCATTGAATATAATCAAATCCGAATTAAAATAATAACTTAATCGAAATCTAATATTAGTCATTCATTTTCTATAACAATTTTAAAGTTTTATTTAAGCTTTTTTCCTTTCATCTTCAATGTTTTATTTTTATTATCTGTGGTTAAATTAGTTAATTAATTTTAAAAATATTTCTAAAATGAAATTGCAATTATAAATTATTAAGTATTCTTATTTTTTATTTAAAATTAGGATGATTTGAATTCAGCTTTTTAAACAAAAAAAATAATGTACCAATTATTGAGTTAAATTTATTTTGGTGCATATGTGAATAATTAAGTACACCATGAATAGAAGTAAATGATAAAACTTGACTCAACCTAATTGATTGCTACCCTAAGTCTAAAATCTAACTCTAAATTATAAAAAGTCAAAATTCAAAATGATTGACATACTAAATACATAATTAAATAAAGATTTATCAAATAAATTTTGCTAATGAATACCTTTAAATTATTTTTAAGTTCAATTAAATTATAATTTATAATAATTTTTATTTTAATGTAAAGTGATAATTAATTTGGCGAATTTCAATTTTTTTGAACAAATATTACCTAATATGATAACTTTAAATATTTAATACAACAGTGAATATTATTCAACTGGTATAAAAAATAAAATGAATGACTATAAAATGTTTTTCCAAATAAAAGAATTTTATATTAATCTTAATGAAATTTTAAATCAATGTAGTTGTATATTTTCATTCAAATATCTAATCAATTTTTCATCTCATTTTTCTTTTTAGAATAATCTTCCATTAGTACTTCATCAAATGAATGTAATCATACGTTCTATTAATTAAAAGTTTAATTTTTTATTTAAGAAATTTTATTATATGTAAACTTTATTATATAAAAATATTAAAATACATAATTTTAAAAAATAAAATAAGTTTCTAATATTGGTACTTATCATGTTTTCTTAAGATAATTCCAATTCTAAGATTAACAGACTTGTTATGTAATACTTATCTAATTTATAATAATTTCTTTTTAGCATTAATAACATAAATTTTCATGAATGAATATAAT